TCGAGACAACTGGATTAAAGTTATGTCTGAATACTCTGAGATCGCCACAATAGCACTTTTGCTATTTCCGACATCCTACCTGTGTGAGGCGGGGGGGATTATGCAGCAACGGCGACGAAAACAAAATTACGAAGTAGACTGGACATAAACCACACACTTGCGGTGTCATTGTCTCTCCTATTACCCCGAGATGGGACCGTCTGGTTGCAGAAAATCAAGCTCGGTGCTGTGGTGAGTCGTCATTTTCATGCACTTTGAATTTGTGTTGTATCGTATTTTGAAGGCATTAAACATTGCCATAGCGATTGGAGTGTTGCGGCCAGATTAGACGCTCCTTGTGTTTATTATTATATTTCGAAAACACCACAGTTTTCATGCAGCTCATACCATATTAATTTCTTGTATTATTTCCACCACACCTTAAATGCCGGTCCCTGAAAATATTGTCTGACATAAACCGGTCCGTGGGGCAAAAAAGGTTGGGGACCCCTGATCTAGAATGTGATGTCACTGCAACTTGTTCCGTTTACCAGTTCGAGAACAGGAGTTGTGCAATACGGCAGCATAGTCGCATCCCTTCAGCCAAGTTCCAAATAAATTTGCCAAAGTCTGAAGAAATAGAAATTTCCACCGCTACGCAACTACGTCTGACATCTCCACCAGTAGATTTGCCCTGGGCTACTTTCTCCTTGACTGGTTGTGGTGAAAAGTCATTTTTTAAGTGGTCAAACTTGAAGCTTGAACACTAAGATCTCTTATCTGAAAACAGGTTGTTTTTCAACTCTATGTCTCTAAATAAATCTATCCATCCATTTTCTAATCCGCATATGCTCACAAGGGTCGCGGGCGTGCTGGAGTCTATCCCAGGCAGATGTAGACGAACAACCATTTGCACTCACATACACCTAGGGACATTTCAGAGTGTTCCATTAACCTGCCATGTGTGGGGTTTTTTGGCATGTAAGAGGAAACCAGAATACCCTTCTCCGGAGTACCTGGAGAAAACCCACGGAGGCATGGGGAGAACATGCAAACTCGAGACAGGAAGGCCAGAGCCGAAATTGAACCCTGCGCCTCTGCACTATGAGGCAGACGTGCAAACCAGTCGACCGCTGTGCTGCCACTCTCTAAATCAGGGGGGTGCCCAACCTTTTTTGACCAAAGATCTACTTTTCAATCAACCGACCTCACGTGATCGACTGGTTACCGCACACACTTACACACGCATGCCCTGATGAGCAATAGTGGCCCCTGAAGGGACCTTCATTCATAGTATACACTTTAGTATTGCCACGTTGCGTTTTTCATATAGTCACAAAATACTTGCTGTTGTTCCAGTGCTGTTTTCATGGTTGTAGATCATTCGGGTGGAGGATTGGAATGCGTGACTGCAAATAATGATGTTTTTCTGTGTGTAAATGAGAGACTGTTTGCATTCAAGTGTGACTGAGGAAGAGGGGGTGCCAAGGTGCCACGAGCAAAGGGGAGAGGCTGGTTGGACCCCTGCACTGGAGATCACAATCGGCACTCAAAAAGGCCCCACTGCAGGATGACCGCTTCCAACAACAAAAGACGGCCAAATGTTGGAGACCATATTCACATCAAAGGAAGATTCACAATAGGACAATCCACACCTAGTCTGACAGATGACGTTGGTCACACCTGGACTGTCCTCGCAGACTACTTGTCTATGCCTGAACACACACACACACACACACACACACACACACACACACACACACAAACAAAATTACGAAGTAGACTGGACATAAACCACACACTTGCGGTGTCATTGTCTCTCCTATTACCCCGAGATGGGACCGTCTGGTTGCAGAAAATCAAGCTCGGTGCTGTGGTGAGTCGTCATTTTCATGCACTTTGAATTTGTGTTGTATCGTATTTTGAAGGCATTAAACATTGCCATAGCGATTGGAGTGTTGCGGCCAGATTAGACGCTCCTTGTGTTTATTATTATATTTCGAAAACACCACAGTTTTCATGCAGCTCATACCATATTATTTTGTTGTATTATTTCCGCCACACCTTAAATGCCGGTCCCTGAAATTATTGTCTGACATAAACCGGTCCGTGGGGCAAAAAAGGTTGGGGACCCCTGGTCCAAAGTCTCTGGCGGCAGTACTAGAGCAAAAATCAAGTATGGCAAACTGTAACACTAACTACTGTAATCTAAATCGGAACTTTTAACATTTGAAGCTCTATGCTAATATGCAACCCTTTGTAGTTGCACCGTCATACTCCCAATTTCATGCTTATTTTATTGTTTTCGCCAAGACAAGTTTTACTATTTCCACAGCACCCTTGTGCACATGGTGGGAATGTGTCAGGCAAATAATGGAAAAAAGGATACACCTGACCTGATCAGCACAAATTGAACACACTATTTTGCTGCAGAAGTGCGTTACATTTTAACTACTTCAATATTTAATATTTATTCTGCTGCTTGCACTTATTTAAAATATGGTATGTTTTCTTTCAAATGCTGCTTTGTACTTAAAGCCTACGTAGCTCACATAATTAGCACTTGAAGCTTTTTTAACCTTTAAAGCAATCCAGGCTTCAGCGTTTAACTGTGTGCCATGCGGTGCTTCAGAATAGTATTCACATTTTTAAGATCAAAGTGGATTTTGTTGATGAAGGTATAATCCACAGGTCCTTTTTGTAGCCACTTTACCGTCCAAACCTTTCCTTCTGTCTGTGTAACAGTCTAACTAGTCTTTATCAAAATGTTTCTCATTGTCATGAACAATGGTTTGAGACCTTGTTAATTAAAAACAATGACAAAAAAGTGACTACCTGGATATTGTTTCTCAGTGCAAACAACTACCTTTTGGACTAAAATGTGTGTAAATAAAGCCTCCAGCGGATGGAATATATACCACTGGGACATTGCAGGGCTTCTCCACATTGCAACGAGGTGCTCTGAAGCTAGCTAGCTAACTGCACATTGCAATTCTATTGGATAACCATTGTTGAGAACAAAGGCACTACAAGTTGTTACGTACGAACTGGGGGGGTGGGGGGGGGTGTTCACTGGGCCCCGATTTAGCCACTTCCTAAAAAAAATCGAAATTGAAAATTGGTGAAAAATATTTCAATGCAATATTTCCACAATTGGGTTTGATGTAGTTGTTTGCCAGTCTGCGCGTTTTCAGCAATTACGGTAGTCAACAAATATTTCGGAGATTTTTTTTTTTAAATCAGAGATACGAGTCAATTTATTAGCAACTTCTAGATTTTTATCTGAATCTGCCCTTGTCATTTCAGGTTTCAATAACCATAATATAACAATGTACCTGTAATATATTGTCACATTTTCTAATTAAGGGTTAAGTGCAGCAACAGGTGGATTTTTTTTTCCTGTAATGTCATAGCTATAAATTGGTAAAATACATGTTAAAACTCTGTATTGCACAAACGTTTTTAGGTCAGAAAACAGTCAACATTTTTTTAAATCAACATGAGATACGTTAAAGTCCCTAACCTTTTTTCCCCACGAACCGGTTGAATGTCAGACAATATCTTCAGGGACCGGCCTTTAAGGCCGGATAAAGACAATAAAATAATATATGACCTGCATGGAAACTGTGGTATTTTCTAAACATAAAATAAACACAAAACAAACATAAAAATAAAAACAAATCATGACAAGAGGAACGTCCTATCTGACCGGAACACTCTCTGGTTGCGAAGACATGCCTTCAAAATAAGATACGTGGCAAACACAAAGTGCATGAAAAATACTGTCAAACGTTGCCTTGGCAACGCGCAGCTGTCTGGAAGTGAACCGATCCAGTCCCCTTGCCGTTTTGCATTTTTTTGTAGGGCCAAGAGTGGCACGGATTAAAAGCAAGAGCAGAAAAAAAATCACCGCGCACACTTGCGATCTCCGGAAATTAACGGTTGCAGCCCGCTTGGACCCGCTGTCGCTGTGCGAAGCGAGGAAGGCCCGAAGTGCCGGGATTTGCAAGTAAAGCCCTCAAAATACATTGCCAGGTCGCTCGCGGTGTCAAACTTCGCGCAGTAACGCACAACTGTAGGAAACTGAAACGATCCAGTCCCCTTGCCGTTTTGCATTTTTTGTAGGGCCAAGAGTGGCACGGACAACAAGCAAGAGCTGAAAAAAATCACCGCGCACATGCGCAATGTCCAGAAATTAACGGTTGCCGCCCGCTTGGTCCCGCTGTCGCTGCGCAAAGCAAAAAAAGGCCCGGAGTACCGGGATTTGCAAGTAAGGCCTTATAAACCTCGCCGTGTCGCTCCCGTTGCCTGTCAAACATTGCCTCGGCGACGCGCAACTGTCTGGAAGTGAACCGATCCGCTCCCCTTGCCGTTTTGCATTTTTTTCGGGCCAAGAGTGGCGCAGATTAAAAGCAAGAGCTGAAAGAACACTCGCGATGTCCGGAAATTAACGGTTGCCGCCCGCTTGGACCCGCTGTCACTGCGTGAAGCGAGGAAGGCCCGAAGTGTCGGGATTTGCAAGTAAAGCCCTCAAAATGCATCGCCAGGTCGCTCGCGCTGTCAAACGTCGCCCGGGCAACGCTCAACTGTCTGGAAGTGAACC